GGAGTTCAAGGCCAGTCTTGGCTACATAGTGAGTTCAAGTCCAAGCCTAGGCTAAAAATGACCCTGTTCCAAAAGAAAATAATATGAAAAATTGTGTCTCAATCTTTAGCACTGAGTGGAGATCTACCCCTGAAAATTTCATAAATTCAAGCTAGTTCTCACAAGGATTTGCTGTCTCAATTTACAATATTAGAGCAGTCAGAAAAGACTGAGGCTGATAAACTTATTTTAAAATGATCTAGAAATGCTGGTGTTTCCTTGTGTCTATCAGAATGATATGACTCACTTTAAATTCCTGAAGATAAAGCTCTAAGAGATAGGTGCTTACATTTTCAAAGAGCACAAAGTTTGAGAAGAGAAAGAATCATGACCCAGAGCCTTCAGAATTATGAATAGCAGAGCAGGCCCTTAAGAGTCTTCAGAATTATGCTAGAAAGGAGCTTCAGAGATGTCAATACTAGACATAGCAGGTGTGGAGTGGAAGATGGTTGTGTTATATATCCACACTTAAAGAAAAATACATTTAAAATATGGAAAAAGAGAAATCTTTAAAGTTTCCAAGCATATTTGAAAAAGAATAAAACTAAAAGCAAAACATATGAAACTAAGAACTTGGACAGATCTGGTAGCATATTGGAAACACAAGAGAACAAATGTAGGAGAGACTGAAAGATGAAGAGCAGGACGGACACTAAGTGAGAAGAGGGAAGTCTGACATCTAAATGAAGTTCACAGCAACGCTATGAGGAGGAAAAGACACTGGGTTCTCTAAGGAACGGAAAGAGAAAAGAGCCAGATGACCTGAAAATACTGTATTACTTTTCAAAGACTCACAAAGATTTAGAGGGCTGACATGTCCTGATAAAACTAAAAAAACTAAAGCATGTTGACACTTTAGGAAATAATACAGAGCCTGACAAACATGGAAGACAAGGGAAGACCTCAAAAGCAGGCAGAGATGAAGCATTCTCTCCAAAGGAGCAGCAGCTTTGCAACTCCACCTGAAGATATTTTCAGACAAGTAAAATCTGAACGTGTTGGCACTGAACTGCTCTAAAGAACTTAATATGGTTGAGGCTAATGAAGTGGTGTTTATTGTGAGGCCACAGTTTCCAGAGGGGCAGAGAGCTGCCTCTTGCTGTTAACAGAAAAGGAAATGCCGTGGATGATTTTAGACAAGAAAAGAGAGGATAGTTGATAGAGGAACATAATGCATTTACAATAGAAGGCACACAAAAAAGAAAGTGTGAAAAGTAAAAAGTGATGCAAATAGCACTGGTAAGAAAAAAATCAATATTTAAATATATGCAAACTAATTAGACTAAATGCTCCATTTAAAAAACAAATATTCAACGTGGTGGCATAGGTCTGTAGTCCCAGCACTTGGGAGGCAGAGGCAGGATATCTGTGAGTTCAAGGCCAGCCTGGTCTACATAGTGAGTTCCAGGCCAGCTGGTGCTACAGGAGACCCTCTTTCAAAAAGACCGAAAAATAAATAATAAAATAAAAAAATAAAAATAAAAAACAAATATTAGCCAGACATGGTTGCACATACTGTTAACGCAGCACTCCAGAGGCAGAAGCAGGCAGAGCTCTTTGAGATCAAGGACAGTCTGGTTTACATAGTGAGTTCCAGGTCAACTGTGTCTACAGGGAGACTCTCTCTTTAAAAAACTAAAAAAATTAATAATAAAAGACAAACATCAACAAGATTTTTTAAAATTAAAAATTGACTATACTTATAACTTATCTAAAATTGAAGATGCAGAAAATTAAAGTAAAAGCCTATATAAATCATACCAAACAAATACTTTCTTCCTCCAAAGGACTGCTTTTCAAATCTGTTATTCCCAAGGAAAAGTGGCTTTCTGACAAAATCCATGCTGGAGATGGTGAGGGTAATTATTTGATAATAAAAAGTGAGGATCATTATTTGATACCAAAAAGCTAGAGAACAAGAAAGAGCACTTATAGAGAGACCTTGTAATACTTTAAAATATATAAAGGTTAATTTAGCAGACAAAGAAAAATAGACAAACCTAGCAGAATAGTGGGAGATTTTACTATGCATCTTTAGCTAATAGCTGACACTTAAAATATAGGTAAGTTATGGACTTCATCAAGATATTTGATCCTGCGGATATATATAATATATATTAGCATTTGTCCTAGTTTGTCTCTCCATTGCTATAACAAAACACTCTGACCAGTGCCTACTTTAGGAGGAAAGGGTTTTTTCAGCTTGCATCTCCCACGTCACAGTTCATCAGGGAGCCCAAGGTAGGAGCTCAAGCAAGAAACCTGGAGGCAGGAGCTGGAGCACAGGCCATGGAGGAACACTGCTTACTGGCTTGCTCCCCTGGCCCCTGCTCAACTTGCTTTCTTATGCAACACAGGCCCACTTGCCCAGGGATGGCACCACCCACAGTGGGCTGGGCCCTCCCACATCACTCATCAAGAAGATGCCCCTCAGACATGGCCACAGGCCAGTCCAATAGAGGAAATTCCCCAATTGAGGCTCCCTCAACCCAGATGTGTCAAGTTGACACTACAACTATCCAGCACAATTGACCGCTTGTCAACTTGACACACAAACACATCACTATTAAACCATAACCTTTTCAATTCTCATCCCCAAGATATGTTGTTAATATCACAACATACGACAGTACAACATTTAAAACCCCACAGTCCTTAAAAAAAAAAAATTCAAACACTTAAAAGTCCTCAGTCTCTTAAAAGTCTCTTAACTGTGTGCTTTGGTAAAATCCAAAACAAGTACTGTCCTGTTTCAAAAGGAAGAATCGGGCACACCTAAGCAAAACCAAAGTCCAGCAAAGTAGCTCAAGGCTGGACATCTGGGATTCACTCATGATCTGGGCTCCAAAGGGTTCTAGCAGTTCCATTTCTTGGACTCTGCCGTCCATAGCACACACAGCTTGTCTCACAGACCCAAACCAGCTTCATTCCACACCTACTGCTGTCCTTGGTGGTCGTCCCATGGTCCTGGGATCCCCCAAAAGCTGGGGTCTCCACTGAAATTGAGACTGCACCTTCACTAATGGCCTCTTCTTGCCTCTTGGGGTGCCAAGCCTCAAGATTCTCTCCATGACCCCTTCAATCCTGGGGTCTTCGCTACAACTGAAGCTGCACTTTTACCTATGGCCTTTCCTGGTCTCTCAGTGTGCCAAGCCTCAGTTGCTCTCTGTGACCCCTTCACGCTTTCAACACCAGAACCATGCAGGAGACTCTTGCACATTACCAAGTCCTGCTCCCATATTGAGATAGAGGTGCAGGTCCCCTCTGTGTGCGGACTCTGAGGAAATACCTCCCAGAAGACTTCACCACAGTGATGCTGGTCTCTTGTTTACTTACAGCTGATTTTTTAGCCCTAGCTAACCAGCATCAATTGTCCCAGTAAAGCAAAGTTTTCAGGTTCTGGTCTCTTCTTAATTCTTCAGCCCCAGCTGACCACAACCCACAGATTCTCAATTCAAAATATCACACAAACAGCCCTGATAGTCTGCTTCCCTTTGAAGCGTCATAAGCCAGGCCTCCATTGTTCACAACTCTTTCAGCCTAACTGTTCCAAGCTCCACAAGAATAAATTCTAAGTACTCAATGGCTTTTCCAGGCCAAAGTTCCAAACGCTTCCACAAGCCTGAAACCACCAAGGTCAGTCTGTCACAGCAGTACCCCACTGGCTGGTACCAATTTCTGTCCTAGTTTGTCTCCCCATTGCTGTAACAAAACACTCTGACCAATGCCAACTTGGGGAGGAAAGAATTTATTCAGCTTACATCTCCCAGGTCACAGTTCATCAGGGAGCCTAAGGTAGGAACTCAGGCAAGAACCTGGAGGCAGGAGCTGGAGCACAGGCCATGGAGGAATGCTGCTTACTAGCTTGCTCCTCTGGCCCCTACTCAGCCTGCTTTCTTATGCAACATAGGCCCACCTTCCCAGGGGTGGTACCACCCATAGTGGGCTGGGCCCTACCACATCACTAGTAATCAAGCAGATGCCTCACAGACATGCCCACAGGCCAGTTCAATGGAGGCAATTCCCCAATTGAGGCTCCTTCAACCCAGGTGTGTCAAGTTGACACTAAAGCTATCCAGCAAAGCATTCAACAACTCTAGAAATTTAGACCATGTCTTAACAACCTTACATGAAAGTTTTTAAAAGTTACGTACTTGCCATCCAACAGCCTCAGCAACTTTCAAAGAATTAATAGAAGATACATTAGCTGACCCTAAGCCCAATATGATCAGTGCCCTTATAAAAAGAGAGAAACACAGAGGCAAAGGTGGAAACAGACTGTAATACTGTGTCTAGAAACCAAGCAACACCTAAGGATTGCCAGCAAGTGTCAGCATCTAAGATACCTGGAATGAGGTCTTCAGAGCCTGTAGAAGCAACTAGTTCAAGTCAGCACCTTGGTTTTAGGTTTCTAGCTCTAGAACTGAATTTCTATTCTTTTAAACCTTCCAGTTTGTGGTACTTCATTATAACAGCCTTGGGACACTGATATAGTCCGTGCATTTTGAAATTAAGAGACATATTTCTGAATGGTTCATAAGTCAAAGAAAAAGAATAAAGGAAATTAAGCATGTATTAGACTATGTGACAATGAAAACACCACATGTCTAAACTGAACAGATGGAACTGAAGTATGGCATAATTTTAAGTTTATAAATCAGAAAAGATAAAAATGAGTTAGATATTCAAAATAGGAAATTTAAAAAAAATAGAAAATAAGCCTAGAAACAAGTAAAATTGGGCAGTATGCTGTTTAAAGACATAATATACAGGGAAATGTTCTCCAGAGGGCATTTGCCTCTGAGGTGACAGGGCATTGAAGAGCCAGAAGAAAAAAAAGCATTAGAGTGGGAAGTATGGGAAAAGAGTGGACCTCAAGACACTTGACGTATTGTTCTTGTGCAGTTGTTCTTTTGTAGCTTTCTATTCATATCCTCTGTTTTACCATTTTCCCCTACAAGGTTATTGCTGACATGGAGGCCCAGGTTCACAAACTGAGGGAAGAGCTGATTAACGTGAACTCACAGAGGAAACAGCAGCTGGTAGAGCTTGGTCTTCTTCGAGAAGAGGAAAAGCAGAAGGCTGCAAGGGACCACGAAACTGCTGTCAACAAGCTGAAGGCTGAATCAGAAAGAATGAAAGTGGAGCTGAAAAAGACACATGCTGCTGAGACAGAGATGACTCTGGAAAAGGTGAGCTGCTCAGTGGAACTCTGGCCATGCAGACTATGTTCAAGCTGAGCTGCCCTTTAAACATGTAAATGGGGGTGGTAGTGATAATACCATTAAAGTGTGCAAAGTAGGTAGTATTGCTCTGATGCTAAACATGCATGGCTTCAGAATTAGGGCAGCATCCTTATGAACATAGGCTCAGATCCAGATGACAGCAGATAACAAGAACTGATGGAGAGGGGCTGATCTTACACTTATCTTTTCTGGAAAATTTTCCATATCCCCAAAAGGCATTTTCCCAGGTACTAGGAACATACAAAGAAAAAGAGAGTGGATATTATCCTGAAAAATAGTATGAAATAAGAAGCCCCAATAAAAAAAAAAAAGGACATATATGTGTGTGACGATACCTATAATGTAGGGAGAATGTGAAATTAGACAGAAATAATTTCTGCTGAGATTAGGGAAAATTAACTCGAAGCGATGCCATCTAAATTAGACGTAAGTAATATGTGGGATTTTTAGCTGGTAGATATGGAGTCCAGCATTCCAAGCCAGAGGACGAACAAATGCAAGAGCAAACAAAACCATTTACATGGCATATAGGGTAATGTAGAGAACAGACTGGTGATGAGGCTGGAGCTTAAGGAACACCTGACTCCACTGCACAGAGCAAATGGTGAGAAGATCCTGAGATCTCTGAGCAATGAAGTCAAGATTCAGATGATTATTAGGAGAATCATGCTGTCAATGTTCTTACGATGCCACAGTGGTAGAAGGGTTGATAGGGACTGGACTAGCCCAGGACACAGGCCCTTGAGGTACATGTGAGGTAGTCGGATTCCTCAGTGGCAAAGGGGCAGGAGGGACATGCTTTGCTTAAGAATCATTGCAGAGAGGGCACTGAGGAGTCTTTAGTACAAACTGAATTTTAGTCATTTGCCAACATGAGAGAAATTTCAGCTGCTGCCTTAACACTGAGCTGTGATGCTCACTTGCTGTGGGATCTTTCTGGAAACCTGAAGAGAAGGCCTGTCCTGAGGCATGTGAGACTATTATAAGAAGGTGAGGAGTAAGAGGAAAGAGGGAAGACAGGGAGGAGGAGGGAAAGAAGAGAAGAGAGAGAAGCCTTTGAGAGGTTAGGAGAAAACAAGAAGGGTCATCAAGGTGAAAGAACTATAAAAAGAATGTATTTTCATGAACATAGAGAAAGCAGGATTGTCAAGAATGTAACAGAAAGTCATGAAGAATAGGGGTTGAGGAGAGGTCACTGGATTTGAAACTGAGAAGTCATTGATGATTTTGGACAGCCTACCAGAATGATAGTGTAGACAGAAACATTTGCCACAGTTAAAGAGACAGTGCAAGTGAGGGAACCTTCTGTTGACTGGAAAAACTCTGATGCTAAAACTAGGAAGTTGGACTACCAGAGAACAGCAGGAGTCAAGAAGAGTACATTTCACACTGAGCACGTCTTGAGCATTTTGAAGTAAGAGAGAAGGGCTAACAGAGAGCCACCTGTTTATCCGGTAAATGGCAGATGATTGATGGCATGCCCTCTGCCAGTGGAGGGGAGACACATCTCAGGACAAGCCTACAAGCCTCAGCCCTTGGCTACAAGGGTGCAGAAACACAAGTCATCAGTCTGTTCTCAGAATATGCCATTCTCTTCTGCTTCTGGATCCTTATACCTGCCGCCTTCTGCCCATAATGTTATGATTTTCTAATAGCTAGCCTACGTCTTATCTCTCTACATTCCTCAGAGATCCTATCCCTGTCTTCTTCATCTATAGTCTGACCTACTTAACCCCACTTTTCTTAATATCTTCCTAGCCCATCTGACAGTCTAAAATCATATTTGTATTCATCTTCTATTCATTTTCTATTTCTTCTGTCTACTAGAGTGTAATCTCCATGAGTAGAGAACCTTGTAATTCATTCAGTTCTATATCATTGATGCTAGAGAATCCTGGCACATGGCAGATGCTCACCACTAGTAGACATTATATGTGTGAGGGAGAGGAGGTTGCCTTTTACATAGGGAAGATACAAAATCCCATGACAAAACTTGAGAAGACCTTAAAGATAAAGATTCATCATAACAAGGAATCTAGTCATCGGCTTAAGTCAGGAGTTTCAAGAATAGTGAACAGCCATGCTTCAGACTGACTAGGTGAATAGGATATATGGATAGGGAGCGAGACTGTGCACCCTCACAGAAGAGGGAGGAGGGCAATATGATGGGAAGAATGAGATCCTGAGGTGAACTAAGAATGCAAGTCTTACAGGAGGGCAGAAGTAAGCATTCTAATCGGAGACAGTGCAGATGGCTGCTCTGAAGAGCTGGTCTGAAGCATGCGCTGTAGGCAAGGACGAGGAGGTCTAGAGAAGGGAGAGCAGGGCCTCCGCTGCAGTCGTGTGCTGACTTTGGATTTTGTTGAATTGTTTGAATTTACCAACCTCAAAGTCTTTATGATAAAATCCAAGTATAGGCTCTTCATGCTTAACTATTTGTAATTCCATTTGGAAAATGTTTGACTTAACTCGAAAGAGAAGTTTACCAGTTTCGGTTGAAGCAAAGACTTGCTTGAGTTGAAAGCATGCCTTGTAAAATTACTTTCTAAAGCTCCAGAATCAAGTACAATGTTTTGCACAAAGTAAGCATTCATCAGATGTTATGTGAGTGTATGAAAAAGTACTCAACCAAGTCATTCAGTGTAGCCCTTGTGTGTGTCATTATAGAAAATAAATTGTAATTGATTTAGCCCATGTGATTTTTAATCCATTATAGATACTTTGGATAGGACAAGGTTTATCTTTGTATTCAAATATTCACTTATGTTTCATATTATGATTTCTTTCATATTACTAAGTTAAGCATAAAGCATACTTTTCAGATATAGTTTTTTAATTTATTTTTTTATGTGTATGTGTGTATTGCCTGCTTGTAGGTAAGTAAACCCATGTCGTGCAATGCCCGTGGAGGTCAGAAGAGGCTGTTGGATCCCCTGGGACTGGAATTACGGACAGTTGTTAGCTGCATGTCGGTGTTAGGATTTGAACTCGGGTCTTCTGCAAGAACAGCTAGTTTTCTTAACCACTGAGCCATATCTCCAGCCCCTCATATATAGTTTCTTTTTTGTTTTTTTGTTTTACTTTTTTTTTTTGTTTTTTTTGGTTTTTTGAAACAGGGTCTTGCTATAGCCCCAGTTTACCTGGAACTTACTATGTAGACCAGGCTGGCCTCCATCTCACAGAAATCCACTGCAAAGGCTTCCCAAGTGGGGCACCTCCAAGCCTGGCTCAGATATAGTTTTGATATTTCTCTTCAAATTAATAACATTTAATTTTATTCTATGAAAGTTTAAATTAATACTAATGAACTAAAATTTTAGTTGTTATTTTGAGGCATTATTCTGCAAATTGCTTAATTCTATATCCTATAAAAAGCTTAATATACAGAGCTAGGGAGATGACTCTATGGGTAAGAGCACTTGTGCACCTAAGTTCAAATCCTAAGCACTCAAATAAAAGCCTGGGATGGCCACACATGCCTCTAACCTCAACATTGGACGGGTGGAGCAAATGGGGAGCCTCACTGGGTACTTAGCCTAGCCAGAGCAGCAAGCTTCAGGGTAAGTAAAAACACTGTCTTAAGTGAATAAAGTGGAAAGTAATAAAGCAAGACACCTGTTGCCCTTCTCTAGCTTATGCACACACAGGAGCATACACCCACAGATATACATGCATACACATGCATACACCACATACATACATACACAGAGAGCTTAGTGTGTAGATAAAGCTGAATGTTAAAATAATTGCTAGCAATTCAAAATCCAGTCAAAATTGAGCAGTTTAGAAATTAAGTTTCTATCACTAAGTGTAAATTTAGGTTCACAGAGAAGAGGACAGTAACACTATAATAATAGGAAGTCCAAATACAGCATTCCATGTTCCGTGAAAGACCCACTGTATTCCTTCAGTAGCACAGTGTTGAGATTATGAAATAATCCCTAAGTCCGGACCCTACCTGAGTTACTGTCAGCAGTGATTTAGATCAAGATGATGTCTTCAAGTAGCCTGGACTTGAGAGAAACACAAAGTGTCTCCACAAGATCAAGTGCTTGATAGAGAATCCAAGAGAATAAATGATTGACATTTGCAAAGTAAAGCTTTGTTTTGCCCTTTAAGATCCTTTTCAGACAGAATTGAAATAAAGTCCATAATGTATGGTACTTTGAAAAAAAATAGACTAAGTGGGTGAGAGTAAATACTTTTCATGTTTATTAAAATCTTGATGTTTAAATGTTGCCATTGTCTCAAATATCAGTGAGATACTTAAAATAACCATTCTTTGAATAGAGGATGTTTAGAAAAATGAAAAATTAAAATTGTGGAAAAAAACCTGTTTCTAACCCCCCACCCCAGTCATAACCAGTAATAGTAATGATATAACATCTGTGTAACATAGCCATATCAAATTAGCTGCCTGGTATCATACTAAATAAAATTCTGTCTCTTCCTTTATTACAAGTGATGCCAGGAACACCCCATGTCCTTTGAGTCCTCTGCAAGTGTCCACAGCATGTGGCTTGTTAGCAGCACAGTTTATTGTATTATTTTTCATTTTTTATTAGTTAATGTGGATATTTGCATATTCATTCATAAAATTTTTGTCAACACTTCAATTTTTTTTCTTTTAGGTTAAAATTCCCATAGAAGTAACAAATCAAACTGCATTTCAGAGTTTATATTAATTTATACTTACCTCAATACAGCATTTGCTTTTGTTTAATCTGTCTTTAGTATTATTTTTATTTTCATTTAATTTTTGTATTTTTGTGAAAAACAATTATCAAGACATTAAATTTTTTACTGGATTTGTGTTGTCCACTTTTCATTTTCTGTATATTGTCTGTTCATGTTCTTTGTCAGTTTTCCTTCTTTGGGGGTTCAGTTTTCCTACAAACTCATTTTACATTTAGTGGCTAAGAACCGTATCATCATTGTGGCAAAAT